TTTTAGGTCAAAAGCTAAAGCTGGCAAAAAATTTTTTTTTTTTTTTTTTTTTATACCCTAGTTCTATTGCTAGGGGCTAATATTTATGTATATTTTATCTAATAATAAGATAAACCGGTTGTCTTTTTATTATTGTAATCTTACCATTATTATATTTGCAGGAAGTTAGCATGTGACATCAATGTCAACAATGCGCAGGCCTTACATAACACAAATCTAATAAAGTCGTATGTATGTTTAGATTCAAGAGTTCGTCCGCTAGTAATGATAATAAAACATTGGGCACAGAGACGAGACTTAAACGATGCTGGTATGCTGATTTTACATTTATTTTGTATAAAATCCCAAAATTTCTTGATTTATTTCTATTCATTACTATAGCATGCGGAACCCTATCATCATATACTTGGACATGTATGACTTTGAATTTCCTTCAAATGCGTTATCCTCCAATTTTACCAGTATTAAAAATTAATGAAAAAGAAAATGAAAATGAATTATTGGAAGTTGAATAAAAAAATAATGAATCAATTGGTGGATTGTTATTTGCTTTTTTTAAATGGTAATATTAGAGGAGCTAGGAGTTTCATTTTTTATATGTTAAAACCTGTTAAACTAATTTAATCGGGTTTAACATATGAAAAATAAAATTCTAAATTATGTAAAATTTTTATTATTTAAATAGAATTCGCTAAATTAATAAAAACGTAATTTATATTAGGTTTGCTTATGACTTTGATTATGAAAATTACGTTATTTCTCTTCGGCTAGGAAAGTGCCTGAATAAATGGGAAAAAAATTGGATGCATTGGAAATTATGTGTAGAAGAGCCTTTCAATCCCGAAAGGAATCTTGGAAATGGAGTAAATAATGACAGATTTAAAAAAATAATCCAAGAATTTCGTAGGGCAGTAGAATATCTTCATAATGCGAACCTTGAGCTTTGTTGCGAGATTTATGATGAGTATGAATATGATGAGTTTGAATATGTTGCTGGAATTCCCTTAATTACTTTAAAAGCTTTACGTAAAGCTAATTTAGATAGCAAAAAGAATGAGTTTGAATAATTTGATGGAATTCCCTTTATTACTTTAAAAGCTTTACGTAGAGCTAATTTAGATAGCAAAGTTAAAAATAAACAATAATTAATAATTAAAAAAAAGAATTATTTATATTAACGCTAAGTATCTTAATAAATCACATGACTTAACGGACCCTTATATGAATCGATTTAATCCTGTTTAATGATACATGCAACCAATCAGTATGGACGAGATGACACGTAAAAAAACTTTTTTTCATTTATAAATATATATATGTCTCTAAACAATTAATTAAAAAAAAACATCTTCTCTAGCATTAAATTGAGAAAGTTTAATTTTAGGTCAAAAGCTAAAGCTGGCAAAAAATTTTTTTTTTTTTTTTTTTTTATACCCTAGTTCTATTGCTAGGGGC